CAATCAGTCAGTAAATCATCCAGCTACATGTAGTGTGCTAGATGGTTACTCGGCTGGTCAGTTGGCTCTCAAGGCACGCCTCTATCGGCGAAAAGAAAAATCACCAAGATGCTGGAATATTGATCAATCAGAACTTAACAATCAGTTAGTCAGCGAGTGAGTCGGTCGGTCTCCTGGTCATTCAGTCAGTCAATGACTCAATCAGTCCGGCAGTCGGTCAGGTGGTCTTTCATTCAATCAGTTTGTCAATCAGCTTGTCAGCAAGTTGTCTTAATCTCTTGGTTTTACCAATTAAGGTATTACAATTAAGGCATTGAGAACATCGTCATTATAGAAAACCAACATCTTCTGCAACTCTTAGGCGATTGAAAATATTGAGACATATTGTTTCTTTCGATCGCCATATAACTGAATTTTGAAATAACTTTTTTTAATGCGTTTTCTCTTTTCTTGTTTGTTTTTTAATCGTTTTATTTTGTATTTTATCAAAGGAGGTGATGTTACTTGGCGAGGATGGACAAAGCAGTTTCTGATATTTTTAGCTTTGTATTTTGAAACCTGTGAGAGTACAAAAATGTAGTAAAAGATTTTTTAAGTAGATTTAAAGTGACTTTGTGGATTTTGTGGTGAAGTTCTTCATTACGTCATGTGCTATTGAGCTCTTCATTCAAATATATGTGAAAGAGTTGTCTAACTATGCGCAGATCAATCGTCACGGCATTAATTACTTTCAGAACCTTACGGCGGCGTGTTAAAGGATTCGCTTTCCATTGAGGAAAGGGACAAAGTTAAAGGAATACGTTTTTCTATGGTCAAAAGACAGCGGTCGTTCATTCCTTTCTTATGCTCCATCGCAAGAACTACATTTCTGTTCTTTATAACAGTTGTTGCAACTTTTTCCTTTGTCTTCCAAACCGAGAACACCAGTCAGAAAATTAGACGATAGGGTTTCTGGTATCAATTAATGTTTTTCGGAAATGAAACTACGAAACACATCAAAAACGACTAACATAATGCTAAGTACGTCAAAATACTGATCTACATGTACCCGACTTGACATTAGTTATAATACATTACGTTAATGTCGCTCCTTACGAAGTTCCACTGAAAACAGATTGTAGGAAAGATCATTAACTCGTGGTTTTGGTTTTCAGCGATAAAACAAATATTTCACAATTTTCTGTTTTTTCTCAGGTTCAATGTTCTATAGCCCATTTCCTCCTAAGTTGGCTAGCTATTTCTCATTTTTATCTTTAAATAACACTTTACAGTGGGCCGTAACTTTTCCTAGCTTCTCACACATTTCTCCACTTTGTTACAAGTGATCACTCTCTGATTCAATTAGAGCGTGAATTGCCTCAGAGATGCACTCGACTCTCACAAAAATTAGGCGCAGAATTATTTTCGAGGACTTGATACACAATGTCATGAACCCTCAAATGGGCTTCATCTGGCAAAATATGAGTACCCAAAGGCTGTTCGTGACTGTGGGGGTGTGCAACATGACCCTTAGTTGGGGTCTATAGGAAAAAAATTCTTCATTCACTGAGGAACATACTTGATTACCATTGTCGGGCTTTCGTAAAGGGGGATGGAGGGGGAGCGTTGTGCTCCATTGTGTATGTGGTAAGGGAATTGGATGGAGAAGGATCTTGTGGCCTTAACGCATAAACTTTAGTAGGACTTACATGGATGGTCTTTGAAGCAGGTTCTGAACTCAAATTGGTTACTGATGGGGTTGTAACCGTCACCACTTTTGTTGTTTTTGTTGATACTGATGCAGGCGTGGGCGAGGTGACGTTTGCACCCTCAGTATAAACGGTAAAATACAATGTTATAGCCAAAGCAAGAGTAAAAATCTGACAGGAGAGAGGTCTTGTGGCTTCGTTCAAAGAGACCACCTCTGCGTATGAGATCCTAGGCTGATACCATTCAGTGAAATTACAAACAAAAACTTCCACAAGACAATACATAGTTCAACTCTTAACAACGTAAACAACAAAGCTTTCACACTCGTGGCAAATTAGTCAATAATAACCCACTAGAAGCCTGTTATGGCCTTCCCTTTGTTAGCTACTGTCACTGTCCTCACGCTAAGCTGAGCAACTTTGCGAGGGGCTTCTATTGTTGTTGTCATACTGGCAGTGGTGTCTCGACGACGGCGCATACAGGAGATCAACGGACTCACCCCTCCCGCCTAGTTCAAAAAGATATCTAAATGGCATACCTCAAAACGTCTACAGTAGACGACTGCGAGTAGTTGATAATTGATCACGAAAATTAGTACTGTCTGTCACGCTAATGGTTAGAAGTTTGTTGCGAAGTTTCTAACTTGTTTTCCTTCAACTTAAATCCTAGAGGAACTGATAGAATAGTATTCCTGGGGCATCTCTTCCTTAACCCTTTTAACTCCCAGATCAAATTTGTAATTCTCTTTTCAGTCAACCGTACAACTCTTGTAATGTCAGTTCAAAGAATTTAGTATTGGATCAACTAATTATTCCCAAATTAATATTTTTCTTTATTCTCATCACTTATCTAGTTGATATCGTATTGATATTGTACGGAGAAATTCTGTCTTGGTCACTTATGGGAGTTAAAGGGTTAACTCGCACAATCCGATGAGTTTCACAACGCGATTGAGATGTAAAGTTTGCATCATTTCCATTTGAGAGTTGTTATTAATCTAAAGAGGAGAGCAATATTATCCAAATGAAGCTAGGGGAGCATTTCTTTCTGTGTCAAAACAACCCTGGAAAATTATAGTTTTCCTGTTCAACGAATATTGAGTCAGCGTGGTGGTCAATTATCGTCGAATTTAGTTTTCTGACCAAAAAGGAACATAAAATTCATACAGAGAGGCTAAATACATTAGCAATATTTTTTTCCAATAAAGCACGCGTAGAGCGATAAATCCTGCAATCTAATTGGTTCCTAGAGCGGACAAGATTTTGTCACATACTGAACGGTAACACCTCGCCAGATCATCATGCCAATCTATTTTCGTGAATTGTCAACGTTTTGGGTCTAGATATGAATGCAACTGATAAATTGCTTTCCAGCAGAAAAGCGATAGCAAAACGTACTGCACCATCCACCGGGATTTTTACCGACTGCGGGATCTCGTTATCCAACCCTGACAACTGGAACCAGATCTTTCAAATAGGTAGAGTATAACAGGGTAATTCAGTATTGTCAACTAAGTTGATAACGTAATCGGCCACTGTAAAGAGTTTAAATGCTGATGTTTCGGGCGTTAACCACTCGCCAGAGCGATTGGAGGAATTGTGGGTTGATTGTGTGTTTATATGCATACATTCACAGTCAGTTATAAACTCAGTTTGATAATTCTAAATTACCTTTTCAAGTATCCGTTGATTTTTCCACGACGTCGATTCTTTGTTTCTTATTTGTTCAAGTTAAGTGGCAACGCAATTGTGTCCTCGCATTCTGTGTGTAATCAAAACTATAACAAATTTGAGGAGGTTGTTTGATCAGCAGCATCCTGACTCGAGCACAAACAGCGATAGGACAGTTTGCACGTTCTCACAAATGTGTAAAGGGCAGTCTACACATCATGTTTAGCATATTTTGCCTCATTTGCAAGCGTCAAATTCATTCAAAGATGGTATATTGTTGTTAAATTGTCAGTTTTGAATGAGTGTAATCGATGAGCATTTGATAGTAACAGGATAAGGGTAATTTGGTAACAGGAAACTGGATCGCATATTCTGTTTGTGATTAACATCTCTTACTCAAGGTTCGCGATTGTCAGATTTTGTTGTTCACTCGTATAGTTACAGACTGACTGAAACTCTACACAGCCCTATACTTTTATTAAAATGTATACATAGATAATTTTTCCCTATGGATATTTTTTGAAAAAAAAATAATTTCACTAAAAAAAAAATAAAAAAAATTCGGATAGAACTAGTCAAGGGCCCTAGGTTGAAATTTTTTTCTTGACGTCGATTATCCAAGAATGTTTGAGGGAGTTTTTAGGAAGGATCACAGGTCTACGATGTTATGATAAAAAATAGACTTTCGGGAGGGTGTTTGTTTTTGTTTTGTTTTCTTTCCTTTCTTTTGCCTTCCAGAATTGTTTAGTTTTATTTCGCCTCCATTTTTTCCTTTTTTGAAATCGAGCTTGAGTACGAAACCCACTATAAATAACCACGGGAGCCTGACAACCACTTACATGCACGAATCTATTGATTATAAAACTTCTCATAAAGTTAAAATTTCACTCGACATAAACTATACTACTTAGTAAGATGTACCAGGCTGAGCAAAACTAGGCAAAACTAATCGACTGAAAAATATCACGCCTTCCTCTGTGATCTTGAGCGATATTAGAATAAGAACCATTCTGATCCCTACGGTCTTTCTCTTTACTGTCGAGAGTAGAACGTAGACATAGCAGTCCTTAAACGTTGAAGAGTCTTCCTAAAAATGTTACTCGGAATCTTGTTCATGAATGGCGATCGTTTCTAATCTAATGTTTTACTTCTACGTTTATAGTTATCAAAGGCAACAGAGGGCAGTGGGCAGACTCACTCATACCATGTATACACATCAACACAAGTTTCACCGCTGTTGTCTTTCTCTCTTCCGTCCACCCAATCCTGTCCGTACCATATCTGCATCTCTTGGTTGCTCGAGACAGACAATGGATTGACGAGGTTACGAAAAACTAGTTCAGTTGAATCATGGTGATATCCAGGAAGACTGTAAAAGCGTGTTCTGTTTCCAAAAGCACCGGAAGGTAAAGCTTTCAAGTCTTCGGCAGGGGGCAGAATGGCCTCCTTATTGGCATCTGTGATGATTGTCATCAAATTTTCTCCATATGTTGGGTTGGTGCAGCCCCAGTAGGATGAAATAGTTTTATAGTTGCAGCGCACCGACCCTGACCTGTGAATAAGCTTCATTGTTTTCACTCGTCCACTCTTTTTCATGTTGAAGGAACCATACTGATTATTTTTGGTTCCAAAGCAGACGGGTTCTTCACCATTTATCTTTTGTCAGCTCTCTGAGATATAGTAATAAGATACCTAGATAGTTTTGAAAGTTAATTAAACTGTATTTAAAAAAATAGCTACTATCAGCCAATGCATTTTCGAATTATACTAGGCTAACAGCCATTTGCAGGATAAATTCCAGTAATAAAAAAGGTAAACCATTATCCTTTTCGGCGTCGTGACCTGGATAGTTGTTTTAATCCATTCCCATTCGCCATTATAACAATTTTGTATAAGAGAAAGAACAATTCATGTCATTGACTAATCTTCTTCTCCGCGTTCATATCTCTATTGGAATTAATGAAAACAAACCCCTTTTTTGCTACAATTCACTTTTCTGCAGAAACACTGAGACGAGATATTATTTTGGTAGGTTTAAAAAAAGTCGGAATAGGATAATACGTTAAAGAGGCAGTGGGGTCATGAATGAGTGCACAAATTGAGTCAAACAATTTACCTTTACAATAGGCCTCGATGACCTCGCTACTCTCTTCAGAGTAAATCCAGTATTTCTCCTCAGCCATCTGGTTCCCTTCACTCGCTTCAATCTCACCACAGGTTTCCGCCGGAAGTTCTTTGATGGATCCGAGGAGAACTACGTCAGAAAAAACAAATTTCAGGCAAGAATCTACACTATCATGCAGTTCGATACCTCCTGATGCGACAGGAGAGAAAAAAAAACCTCCTACCTTTCCTGCCTGCGTAAAAGCAGAAAGAAATAAAAACTGTGCTAATTTTATCAGATCTAGACTAAGAAATGAGATGGAAGACAGCAACAATAACGCAACGAAACAAGCCAACATTTCGGTATCATCTTTACACCATTTTCAAGGTGACTAAGGAAAAGAGTTGCTTGACTTCATAATTCAGTCAAATATTATCTTCCCACGATGACGTTGATGAGACGATGATTCCAAAACGTAGTTTCTTTAATTTTGACTCGTCTCTGTATTTTGAAATACTTTACCAATATTGAAACAATCCCCGAAATTGAATCATCAAAAGGCTCGCCATAGAAATATATCTAAATATATAAATTTTGTTTTTCTGAAATCTGAGTTTTCTGTAATCATGAATGAAAAATTTAAAAAACAAGTTTTCCCAGAAACGCAAATCCAAAAAGTTAGTCGAGGGAACGTAAAGGTACCTCTGTTTTTAGAACGCTTCATGTAAAATCGCCTCTGATCCGATATAAAATCTTCCGGCCGTGCTTCCTTTGTACGATTGTTCAGTTCACAGATGTTTTGACCAATGACGATATTGTAACTCTGACACGTGACTTCTTCCTCACACAGGTAAAAACACTCTTCAGGCAACTGATCGCGATACATTTTAAACACGTGACCTCTCAGGCTCATTCCACCAATGGAGCTTTCGATTACATGACACTGCCTGTTGGCGTTGAGTACACCAATCTGGGACATCACAAACACGGTTGCCAGCCAGAACTTTGGATTCATTCTGAGGTGAATGCAGGTGCCAATTGCTGCACACAGATTAAGTACCGATCAACACAGTTAACAATGCTAAGATTAAGTTGTATATGGATTTTCAGTCAAATTAATACCTCAATTTACACCTTAGAAGGAGAAGTCAATCCAAAAAGGTTTTGTTGTAGTTTCCTTCGGCCTCCACCAGTTGAACGTATTAATATTAAACAAATGAACGTGTTCTGTTCAATTAAGTTACGAAAACCTAATCATCGACAGCAGTAAGAAGTGACACTGCACTTTATATGCGTTATTGAAACAAGCGTGGAGTAAAGAAAGCTAGATGTTGGCTGAGTTCTTCTTCTGCTTTTTCATGAACCGAGACACAGTCCAGGTCCCATAAAATCAGCCGGCAAAAATTATTTCATTGAAAAATGATTATCGTTTCTGGTTATTTCATTGGGTCGCGTTGAAAGGTGAAAACAAAAATTATCTACCGTATTTGTTTATTTTTTTCGATGATTTTCTCATTTGCAATTGTTAGCGTTTGCTCGTTGTTGTAATTTAAAACAGCCGAAGAGTTTTGATTTCAGATATTGTTTTTTTTATTTTTGTACTAACAGCACCGTTCATTCCGAGGTTTTCAATTTTCGTAAAGTTCGATGATAGTTTATTTATTATTAATTTTTCTTAATTTCTAGAGTCTCCAAACAAAAACCCGTAAAAACAAAGTTTAATATGCCACAACGAGGTTTTGCTATGCAAAGCTCACCCAAAGACATGAACAAGTGAAACTTTTAAGATGGTCTTATAAATGGAGTAGAAATATCGAATTTCGATCTCAATTTACTTCATCAGAAGTATGTCTCCTAATGTTGAGTAGGTTGCGTTAAATGTCGACAGGTGCTGCTTCTAAATATAATTATATTATAATAAAGTTCGGATATATCGAGCGCTGTCATTGGTTGAAAGAGCGTGCTCTATGAGAGTATAGAGCATAGAGCTGAGCTAAAGCTGTCACGCCATCTGCCAATTGTACTATCTCACGCTGATGTACTACCGCCGCCAGTAATCCTGAAGTGAAACAATTTGTATTATTGCCATGAATGATGATGAATATAGGAGCGAATCCGACACCTCGTCTAGTTTGAAAAATATTTCGCACGACTCTGCCTTTACTTTTTAAAAGTCTACTATCACTGTGTTTGTCTGCTTACAATAACTGTTCGCAGAGAGCTGCACCCTAGTTTGTTTGAAATTACAAAAACTAAAAATAGTACCACGCATGACCCAGTAATGTAATTGTTATGGCGTCCAAGTTGATAAAAGCGCGAAGTTAACATGTCCCGCTGGTAACATGTCACCATCCTGCACTATCCTCCGAAAGAAAACGGGGAAGGGGCCCCCGCCCGATTTTCTTTTCGATTATTAGTTTATCCGATCCTGCCGACGTTGCAAAGTTACTCCGATCGGATCCCAAACACCCAGAAAGACTGGACTTTCCGTCTCTAAATTTCTACCGGGAGAAAAGGAAGAAAATTCCTGGTGGTATTTTTTGCCGATGGCGAAAAATGGTACAAGCTACGGAGCGTCCTGACCAGAAGAATGCTTCGACCGAAAGAAGTCGCCGACTTTACTCCGGGTTTCAATAAAATTATCGGCGATTTTATTCACTGATTACGATCAGTTCGAGAGCCTAGTGGGTCAGAGAAAGAAAACGAAGTTTGTGAACTCGATAATAGACTTTCCAAGTGGTCGTTTAAGTCTGTGGCGGAGGTGCTGTTTGACGAAAGGTTTGGCTGTCTTGAAGAGGAAATCAACAAAGGGGCACAGGCCTTCATAAAAGTCGTAGGAGATTTTCTGGCGAATGCGGTCGAGGTCGGTGTAGTGACAGTGTGGTGATTTAATCTTTAATTACTGGGCTACCTGTGTATTTCAGTGCCCACGCACATGTCAGCGGAGTTGTTAATCCACACATGATAACGGACTTGTTTTTGTTAAGCCACCATGTTTATGTTGTTCAGTATGTAAGCACGAGGTCTTATTGAATAAAGCTTCAATTGTGCAAGGATTGAACTTCTCTTTCATTACAGTCGGTTTTTTGCCTACTTAGTTTTACAAGATCTAGGAGACCCAGAAATTTAGAGAGTTTTTCCATAATTTTGATACGATGTACGATACTGCCGAATTATTCATCGGGAGAAGAATCATGGAACTGGAGGAGAAGTCATGCAGGCCATCAAAGGAAACAGACCGTGACCGAGCTGGCTTCTTCGAGTTCCTCCGCTCCTGCGGAAAGCTGACGAAGGATGACCTGTTGGCGAGCGTTATGGATGTTTTGTTTGCTGGAGTTGACACTACGTCCAACACGATTCAACGAGTTCTTATATGTTGGCCAAAAATCCTGAGAAACGGAAGGTTCTTTGACAGGAAGTGCTCTCAGTGGTTGGAAATTCTACCTTTGCAACGCTGGAAACGCTCGCTCGTATACCGTACCTAAAGAATAAAGAGGTGAGTTTCTAAAGAAACTGTGGTGCTGCGTCGGTGGGAGAGTATAGCAGGTAATTTAGTGTTAACAACTGGGTTGAAAACGTAAATTAGCCACCGTAAAGGATAAAAAACTGAAGATGCCGAAGCGTTTAAACTGGAGAGATGGTTGCGAAACAAAGATACTGCTTTGATGGAATCAGCAGAAGCTTTCGCTTCTCTTCCATTTGGATTCGGAATGCGTATGTGCCTCGGTCGACGTATTGCCGAGTTAGAGCTTCGTTTGCTGATAGCCAGAATAGTGCAGCAGTTTGACATCTCTTACCCACTGGAGGCAGAGAATATGCAGCCGCTCATGAAAGGGGTCACCATTACTGACAGACCTGTTAGAGTGCAGTTTGTTGACAGAAAGTGAGTAGGGTTTTCATGTTGCCACGTTCACCTTGCATTGTAACACTGTTTTGAGCTGATAGTGGGACAAATTCTGATGACAACTCGTTTAAACAATCCACACTTATTAGATCGAAGGTGTTCAGTAAGTCATTTAATAAGTCTGTTTCAACCACTTCAGTGATTCCCTACATCTGATGAGTATTTTTGTGTTCTGGCTGTCAATTAGTTTGCATTTTAATTCTGTTTCGAATTATTCAGTGGCGTTTCTTGAAGGTCACATCTTTTCGTTGATAATTTTCTGTATTCTTATCAATAGTTCGCTCGATAATGAATTTGATTCGGTGTTTTGAAGTACTAGAAAAGTTATCTTGCTGAATATATATATATATATATATATATATATATATATATATATATATATATAGTGTAAATTTTGACTTACTTGAAACAGTGCTCAATACATAGGAGTGGAACGATGTATATATTGTGGGAGGAAAAAGACAAATAAATTACCAGTTCATCCCTACAGACATGTTTCGTGGTTGTCCACTCATCAGGGGATTAGGGTCCGTGGGGCTGAACTGGTAGTTTATTTGTCTTTTTCCTCCCATAATATGTATATATATAAATTTATATATATAGTGATGAGGCCCAGAAGGCCGAAACAGTACTGTCTGCAGTTAGTTATATAAATTTATATATATATATATATAAATGTGGGGGTAGAGTCTACCTTGGCATAAAGTGCTCAATGCTGTGGTAGCAGAGCTGAGTATATATAAGTGAAAGAATCAAAGAGGACGCATCGATTCTCTGTGACTCAGAGTTTCGCACCTAGGCACTCGTCAGACAGAACTTTATTCAATGAAGAACATACCTCCTTATATACAAATTAGATAAAGGGGTAAGTTTCTAAAGAAACTGTGGTGCTGCGTCGGTGGGAGAGTATAGCAGGTAATTTAGTGTTAACAACTGGGTTGAAAACGTAAATTAGCCACCGTAAAGGGTAAAAAAGCTGACGTTTCGAGCGTTAGCCCTTCGTCAGAGCGATTAGACTAATCGCTCTGACGAAGGGCTAACGCTCGAAACGTCAGCTTTTTTACCCTTTAAGGTGGCTAATTTACGTTTTCAACCCAGTTGTTAACACTAAATTACCTACAAATTAGATAAGTAGCTAATTAATTCACTAGTGTGATGATCTGATCTACGTGTGAAATTAATTTTCTATAGAGCTATTGTTGGCGGCTTGTGAAATTTGCTAAAACTTATTCTCGTGGCGGCATTTAGAAATAATTCTGTTTATTGTTTAATAAAGAAGGCTTCTTAGCTCTAACTAAATAAAGTTTTTCTGTGAGGCACAAGTGGCACCGCTTGCTTTTGTTGCTGTAGGCCGTGGCGGTCGCTAAAATACTCCAGTTAATTGTAAAATTGGTGTTGTTGTCTTTGAGTGTCCAGATATGTTTTGATGGTTCCGTGGTGTTTGAATAGTTTCTGTTCCGTAAAGAAGGTTTTTGTTACGTGTAACGTTTTTTAAAAGTTCCTTCAGTTAGTCCGATGTAATTCTTTCCGGTAGTGTCATTTTCTGTTGTTACGTTGGCGTTGTAGACGACACTTGAAGTGAGGCAATTGTTTTTCAGAGGGCATTGGTTTTTTTTCCTGCAGTTACATTTGTTTTCCGTGGAGGGTGTCTTGCTTGTCTCGAGGATTTTTCTGCTGTGTTTCTTAATCGTGGTTTGTAGGTTGTCTGTGCAGCTATAACTAACTTTCATGTTGTTTTTGTTGAAAATCCTGCGGTACCGGTGATTTTTCGGAAAATGTTTACTGACGAGGTTCAGAAACTCTCTGCCGATGTTTGTTTGTATGTTCATGCTGTAGGGCGGATTAAAGCAAGTTATGTTTCTTGTCTGTTCTTGCGGCTGTTCTGTACGGTGTGAGTTACAGGTTTCTTGCGTTCAGTGTAGATTAATTCTTCGTCGTGTCCACTTTGTTTAAGTGCACTTTCATAGTGTGGTTTGGCTTTGTTAAAGAGTTCTTTGCTTGAGGAAAGTGTCGGAGATTCGTCGGTCGATGGCTGCTGGTAGGTGTTTTATTATTGTAGGCGGATGGTTGGAATTGGTGTCGATGTAGAGAGTTTCGTTCTTACGGACGGA